CACTGAGCAGGAGGAAACTTTTGGAAGTGATGGATATGTTTCCGGCATAGATTGTGGTGCTGGTTTCATGGCTGTATACGTATCTCCAAACTCATCTAGTTGTATACATTAAAAGTGTACACATTTTTGTATGTCAATCATACCTCAAAAGTGATTTTTTAAAAAATGTTTTGCATTGTCTCCATCTAACCTCTTCATATATAATTTCTTTTTTTAAAAAACATACTAAATAAGTTTATTCTTCCATTAAAAAAAGAAGAAGAAGAAGAAGAAAAGAAAGAAAGGCAATGGGGCCAGACAGTGGAGGGGAATGAAGAGCGATCTTGGACGTTTCAGCTTTCTTGTGGCCACCGTAGATGTTTTAGGAAGGGTGTAATCTGTGTTTAAGGACCTTAACCCAGCAGCAGCGTGAAGGAGAGACGGGAATGGCAAAGAGATACCTGCCGAAAGCCATTGCAAAAATAGGCAGAGGCTGTGAACAGGTTATTCACGTTCTCCCCTCTCTCCTCTGAAACTGGGGCAGAGCTGATTCCACAGGTTGACATCAAGCTGTGGGAGAAACGGGTACGGACGCTGGCGCCAGGAAGAACAGGTATGTGTGGGAACAGAAGGAGAAGGTGGAAGAACAGGATCCACGAAAGTAGGAGGGAGCCAGCATGGGGAGCTACGTCACTAAGCCTATCGCTTGAACACGCCTCCCGCCTGCATCCCGCTCGCTATCTCTGCTGCTCTAGGAGGTGGGCAAAGGTGTAACTGGGAAATTTCTGAGCACCGTCATAGGTCAGCTTGTGTCCCCCAGAAAGATGTGTTGAAGTCCTAACCCCCAGCACCTCCTAACGTGACCTTATTTGGCAATAGGATTGTTGCAGATGTGATTAGTTAGATGAGGTCATATTGAAGAAGGGTGGATCCAGAAACCAACATGACTGTGTCCTTACAGAGGAGGAGAAGGGACACTTGAAGGGAAAACGCCATGTGACAATGGAGGCAGAGGTCTCAGTGCTGCAGCTGCAAGGCAAGGATTGATGGCCACCACCAGAAGCCAGGGAGAGGCAACAAGGATTCTCCCCTGCAGGTTTCAGAGGGAGTCTGGCCCTTGACACCTGGATTCAGACTTCCAGCCTCCAAATGCTGCTGTGTTGTTTTAAGCCAGCCAGTTCATGGCAGCCTAGGAAACTGAAACAACCACCCACTGCAATATAGGGATGTTCACTTATAAATTACACGTATATGTGTACCACTCCCCTAGTGGCTTTTAAAAACACAGAAATAGAATTTTAAAGGATGGGATATGTTGGTTACACAATATTTTTTCATTGTTTTTCCTTCATTAATGATATTTAAAAATTCTTATCAAGCAATAAAAAGACATGGAGGAAACTTAAATGCATATTACTAAGTGAAAAAGCCAGTCCGAAAAGACTATAACTGTAAGATGCCAACTACACAACATTCTGGGAAAAGCAAAACTGTACAGACAGTAAAAAGTTAAGATATTGCCAGGGGTTGGAGGATGGGGAGGGATGAATAGGTGGATCACAGAGGATTTTTAGGGCAGTGAAGATGCCTTGTAGGATGCTGTAATGGTGGATACATGTCAGTATACATTTGTCCAAAACCATAGGATGTACAACACCAAGAGTGAACCCTAGTTTTCATGGACTTTGAGTGATCATGATATGTCAAAACAGGTTCATCAGCTGTAACAAATGTACCATTCTGTTAATAATGGAGAAGGTTATCCACGTGTGGGGGCAGGGGATGAATGGGAAATCTCAGCACAGTACCATCCTCTCAAGTACGCTGTGAACCCAAAACTACTTTTAAAAATTAAAATCTTTTAAAGAACCTTTCAATGAGTAGTGTTATTAAATAAGCTTCATTATTTTTTTAAATCCCAGTTTAATTTTAATGACACAGAAATGCAAAGATATACTCCTAAGTTCAATTTTTTTCATAAAAATTTCCTTTTGATCACTGTCACAGCCAAAATGTAAAATTAAAAAGAATTGTGCAGTTTCAAATGGAAGAATTATATCATCGCCCCTGCTTATTCCAATTATGCAAAACTCTTGTTATAATTTAGCTATTAATTCCCACCTTCCCTAATGTCAGTCATTTGTTCTTGCAAACTAGTCAGGAAGTGTTACAATCAGTAAGTTTAAAATCCACTAAAACTCTTCATTGAGAAATTTTCAATCAGATGAGAAAATTGTTTGCCGGCTTTTTAAGGGTGAACTTTTAAGAGCTGTTGTATCGATCACCTTCAGCAGCAAAATCACAGAATGATGGAATGATTTCCAATGACAAGTTTTCAAAATGCCCTTTTCATAGCATGAGTAGTTTTGGAAAAACAGTTATATTCTCACTCCTGAAGAGAAAAATACTGTCATATTTTAGCGACATATCTTGTGGGGTTTTTTTCTCCAACTTCTGTTAAGTAGCTTACTACTGAAAGCCTTTTTGTTATCACAGAAAAAAAGTCAGAAAATTAGACATCCATCTTTTTGTAAAGGAAGAAAATGCATAAACTAGTCTTAAAAATGAGTTAAATAAAAATGAGAAGAATCTCTCTGAGCTCAAGACTTGTTATACAGCTACAGCGGCACTGACTGTGTGGGACTGGTGGAGGGGCAGACATACCAATCAATGGGATGAAAAGACGAAAAGCTCCACGCAACTACAGCCAAATGATTTTTAAGAGGTTTTTTTTTTTTTTAATGAGGCACTGGGGATCGAACCCAGGACCTTGTGAGTACTACAGCCAACTGATTTTTGACAAAGGTATAAAAGCAACTCAAAGGAAGAATAGTCTTTTTGATAGATTATTCCAGAATACTTGGATATCCATAGGCAAATAAGCAAAAAGAAACTCAGTCAAAACCTTACACTTCATACAAAAATGAGCCAACTCAAATGGATCACATTTCAAGTGTAAAACATAACTTTAGAAGATAACATAGGAGAAAGTATTCAAGACCTTGCGCTCCGTGAAGAGTTCTTAGATGAGACACCAAAAGCATGATTCATAAAAGGAAAAACTGATAAATTGGACTTCATCAAAATTTAAAATATTTGTTCTGTGAAAGACTCTGTTAAAACAATGAAAACACAAGCTACAGACTAAGAGAAAATATCTGTATACATATTCTGTAAAGGATCTGGAATATATAAAGAACTCTCAAAATTCAACAGTTAAAAAAATCTAATTAGATAATGGGCAAAAGACATGAACAGACATTTCACTGAAGAGGATACAAAGATGGCAGATAAGCCCATGAAGAGATGTTCAGCATCATTAACCATTAGGGAAATGCAAATTAAGGCCATGATGAGGTCACATACATGTGAGCACAGCTAAAATTAAAAATAGTGACAACACCGAATGCTGGTGAGGATGTGGAAAACTGAATCACTTACACAATGCTGGGAGGAAAGTAAAATGGAACAGCATTCTGGAAAACATTTTGGCTGGTTCTTACAAAACTAAATACACAACTACCATACAACCCAGCTAACTTGCTCTTGGGCATTTATCCTAGAGAAAGGAAAACTATGTTCCCAGAACTGTATTTAATGTTTGTAAAAACCTGTACACAAATGTTTATAGCAGCTTTACTTTTTTGGCTTGTTTTGTTGCTTTTGTTTGTTTGTTTTTGCAGGGGGAGGTAATTAGTTGTATTTATTTAGTTAGTTTTTTGATGGAGGTACTGGAGATTGAACCCAGGACTTCATGCATGCTAAGCATGCACTCTACCACTTGAGCTATACCCTCCCCCTTATAGCAGCTTTATTTGTAATAGCCCCAAAATGGAAACAACACAGATATCCTCCAATGAGTGGATTAAACCAGTGGTAGTGTTCCATCCATACTGTGGAATACCACTCAGCAATAAAAATGAATAAATTACGGATGCATTCAACAACCTGTACAAATCTCCAGAGCCTTAAGCTGAGTGAAGAAAGCTAATCCTAAATGACTGTGTACTGTATTATTCCATTTATATAACATTCTTGAGAAAATTTAGAAACAGAACAGATCAGTGGTTGCCCGAGGTAAAGGAGGGTGTAAGGAGTGGGAGAGAGGGGGGAGGGTGTAGCTCAAGTGGTACAGCGCATGCTTAGCATGCACAAGGTCCTGGGTTCAATCCCCAGTGCCTCCTGTAAAAATAAATAAATAAATAAATCGACACAATCACTTTCCCCTCACCAAAAAAAAAAAAAAAAACCCAAAATAAAAGAAAAAAAAGGAGTGGGACAGAAGTGAGTATGGCTATGAAGATGCAACTGTGAGGAATCTTTGCCATGCTGGAAATGCTCTGCATCTTGACGCTGTCAGTGTGGATATCCTGACTGTGATTCTGTACTATAGTTTTCCAAGCTGTGATCATTGGGGGTAACCGGTTAAAGGGTACATGGGACTTGCAGATATTTATTTCTTACAGTGTAAATCTATAATTATCTCAAAATTAAAGTTTAATTTTTTAAAAGTTTCTAATAAATAAATAGATAGCTAGGCATTTTAATATTTTCTACCCACACCATAATCTTTGGCACACCCAGTTTTAGAGATCGTTGGCATACACTGCTAGTCCCAGGATGCTCGTCCCTACCCAGTCTTTGGATCCCTTTAACTATCTCAACATTCTCTCGAAGTTATCATTCTTAAATGCAAATTTGATCTTGTTATTTCCCAAATCATTAGTTTTGACACTGAAGGTCCTTCTGGCTTAGTCCTTTATCTAATATGTACACCTGGACACCAAACAATCACAGTTTCCAATTGTGCAAAACCCTGTCTGTGAGATACCTGAGGACGGACACAATGGCTTCTCTCTGGTATGCTTACCTTATCTCTGCTTAACTCACCTCGAAAACTTATCAGGCGCCATAGCACATACTAGGAATCAGTAAATCTTGATTTAAATGTTTACTACTTTGCTTTGTTTATTACCTCCTAAGAGTCCAGAGGTGTTCTGTGTTACAGTCCCCACACTAACCTGCAATCACTCCGGCCAGGTAAACCAGCCCCACTCTGAGGCCTTTGTGGACCATTTCCAAGGGGATACCCAAAATCAGCTGCATAACAAGATTCCCCAGGATGTGCTGAACTCTGCAGAGAAAACAGAATTATCAAATATTATGACTAACCCAAGCAGTTATTTCCTGGGGAAAATAGTTTAGAACTTGTTTAACTTGAATTCCATTTTCTAATTTTTAAGGTGACTTTTTTTTAATAAAATCTTATATGGAGCTTCAATATGTAAAGCAGATAAAAGGACATTTTAGAAGTATACATTTAGGGGAAGGGTGTAGCTCAGTGGTAGAGTGTGTGCTTAGTATGCACAAGGTCCTGGGTTCGGTCCCCAGTAGCTCCATTTAAAAAAAAAATTAAATAAAATAAAACTTGATTACCTCCTCCCTTCCCCAAAAAGTATACATTTATAAGTTCTGTTTTGCTGCAATCACTGATAATGTCAAACGAGAGCAATTAAGCTGGTTTAAGAAACATAATAAGCTTGCATTTGCAGGGTTTAGATGACAATTACCATCCTATGTCAGCCTCAGCATCTCATTTTGTTTGGGTTGCACAGTAGTGTTAGAAAATACTAATTCACTCATACTGAGTTTAAATTTCATTAGGTTTTTAAACAACGAATATCTCAGGATATTCTTTAATAAAACAGAGATGGCAGGGGAAAGCTCATTCCCTGTTCTACATTTTTTTTTAAATTTTTTAAGTTGACCAGAATGAAAAAAAATTTGACCTGGTAACACTAGCTAAAGTTGACATTCCCCCATGTACTATAATTAGGACTCTAACATTTTTGAGGGCAGGTGTTTTTTATTACTGTTTTTAAATAGATAAAAATATTTTAAAGTGAAATTCATATTACTTTAGTTATCAAACCCCACAAGCATCTCTGGAGAGTCTCTGAATATAATTTGGCAAATTTCCGTATTACAGTAATTCTTAATTTAGTTGCTATGTAGAACAATGCTTTTTTTTTTTAAAAGAGACTTCAGGTTAAACCAGAAAGTTAAAAAATAACATAGATGTTGAATCGTCCACAAAGTGCAGCAGCTTTCATGTTAGTTTTAGGGACTGTGTTTTTGCATTATAGTTTACTTAACAAATATCCAACAGATCGTCAAAGAGGTTTTCTGGGCATTCCCTACAGAGCAGATTACTTACCTTTATGGCCATGTGTGCACCCAGTCACATATATCACTGTCCAAGCCATCTTCATGGCATATAAGAGGTGATATAATTAAGCACAGAATAGTCTAGCAAGGACAGTTGTACCAGTCTTATGGAGACTTTGGACATAAAGGGGTTTTTGAAATATGTACACCTTGTGAATTTGAACAAGAAGGTCAAAGAAAGCTATCCCATCCTGTCCTCTGGGAGCAGTGTGAGGACGAAGTGACTAATAGCACAAAACTCCCAAAGATTCACCCCAAGCACTCTTTCTGCTGTGCAGTAGCCAGAGGAGACATGGCGTAAAGGTCAGATCCTATCATAGACCCAAAAGAGAAAGATTAACTTTTTTCATCCAAGTTTTATCCACCCTTCAGGGTCCATCTTGAATCCACGCCATCTGTGAAGCCATCCCCATTCTGATCTTTCCCTCTTCCTGTTTATATTACTGTGCCCGATCCAAAATCCATCTTGTCTACCTCCTCTACTGGGGCTGGAAGAGCTAATGTTGATTTCCCAAGCTCTCTTAGATAGAGGCAGCCACGCCCCACAGTCCTGGCCAGTGAGCTGCAATGTCTTGACAAAAGGGATGAATGTCACCAGTACCTGGTACTACCTCTTCCCCCTTCCTGCTTTGAATGCAGGGCTACAGCACCAAATTGCAACTGTAAGAGAAAGGCCAAGGGAAAAGCAGAGATGTCGGTACAGGACCAAGAGTCCTGGCTTCATGAAACTGATGAACCAACCAGCTACCTCTGGGCTTCTTACATGGGAAAACAAAATAACCTCCATTTGTTTAAGCCCCAGTTACATTTGCTTGTAACTTGCATCTAAAAGCAACCCTAATTTATGCAACCCCATATGTGACATGTCCTACATAACCTTGAGCATTTTTTTTTTGAGTGCCTTACTATATGTGTCAGGCACTGTAAAAATTGTTACAACCATTGTCTCATTTAATCACAGAAACCTTATGAGGTAGGTACTATTACCCCATTTTACAGATGTGGAAACTGAGGCACAACGCCATTAAATAAGTACTGTAAACTATAATTCTACACTGTCTTGCATTACTATTTAACTGACTGGTCCCCCTTTATAATTTTAAAGCCCTTGAGTGCAGGAGCCACATTTGCTTAGACCCTACTTGTTAAAGGGAAACTAAAGTGTGGAAGTAGAAACTGGGCAATTGGTCATTTTGTCCCTAACTTGTACAGCCTCAGAGCCCTGTGTCCTGCCATGGATCCCTATTTAGCTACTGGCCAGAATCATCTTTCAAGGTCCAGGGCTGGGTAGGTTGCATAGATGAAGCTGGCCTCATCTGAACTCCCAGGAGTCCACCAGAGAGAAGGGGCCAAGCACCAAGCTGCTCACTGTCTGCGGTGGGCATGGTAAATCATGAATCCTGAATGAGGTCACAAAAGGCTATTAGCGTTTGAGAAACTATAAGCCAAACTACTAGGCACTGCATCACCTATTGCTTGTGTTATTCTAGATGACCAACCATATCATACACACATCAAAATGCTCATGAATTAATTTTTTAAGTGTTTGGCAGAAGTGACTGTTGATTTATATTTTAAAGGGAACATTTAACAACATCACACAACTCGGGGAACACACTTTTGATTTGGTAACAAATTGGTTTCTTCTCCGTAATATTCCTACCTAAATACATTCCTACGAAATTTAGGCAGTTACGAAGTACACTGGACTTAAGGGAACACTAATGGGTTGAGATCCCAGCTCTACAACTTAGCTGTGTGACATGGAGCAAGGACATCCCCTAAGCCTCAGACGTAAAATAGCAGGAGTAATACCTGCCTCCTGGGGTTGCCAGGAGGATCAAACAAGATTACGGGTGTGAAAGTGTCTTAATAATAAAGCACCAGGAGGAGGATGTAGCTCAGTGGTAGAGTGCATGCCTAGCGTGCACAAAGTCCTCGGTTCAATCCTCAGTATCTCCATTAAGATGAATAAAATCCTAATTACTTCCCCCCCAAACAAGAATTAAAAATTTTAAGTGTGAAATTGTAAAGAAAAAAAAACACTCAGAATTTAAAAAATAATAAGCACCAAACAAATGTTCGGGGCTACAATTACGTGTAGTCACCTCTGACATCAGTGACTTGCTGTCGTTCCTTACCCAGCATGGACCAGCATGTATGAGACAAACCTCCAGGCTTCCTCCCTCTTCTCAGGACTGTAGATAAAGGGGCTGTCCAAGATGCCCGTGTCCAAGGTGATCCACTGTTTCTGAGGCTTCCACACAGCATAGTAAATGAACACTGCCAGCTGACGGGGAGGGGACATGAATGTTAACCACACCTTCCGCAGAGTGGCCCCATTAAAGTCTACGGGCACTTAACCCTGTTTCAGACGATTAGCTCTCGAGTGGGCCACTCCCTAGCATGTGCTCAGAAGACGACAAGAATGACATTCCCCGCGTATATTGGACCACAGAACTGTGGGCGTATGCTACTTCCTCCAGCGATGAGGAGCAGCCCTGGACCAAGGTGTAAACTTTCTGAACCCCCACCCTTTTCCCCTCTTAAATACCCACTGTTCTCATCCTCCCATCCTCACCATTTGGTCGTTCATTTACAACCTGATACGAAATTAAGTCACTGCTGGCTTCTGAAGAATAGAGTAGGGAAAGGGGAAAATAGTACCTTTACAGTGAGAAACCTGGCAAACATGACCTTCACCAAGTGATGAAGGCTAATGGCACCGGGGATGTCACGTGGATGTCCCCAACTCTCTGATGTGATGTGATACTTCACCTCTGGGGTCTTCCTCCCCAATACCTGTAACTCCAGTCTACTCATGAGAAAAACATCAGGCAAACCCAGATTGGGGTCATTCTATAGGATCCCTGGCCAGTACTCCTTAAGACTGTCAAAGCCATGAAAAACAAAGACCGAGAAACTGTTATAGATCAGAGGAGACTGGGGAGATGTGACAGCTTCACACACTCTGATACCCTGGGTTTGAGGCTATAGGAGGAACAGAAAGAGGGCATGAATGGAAAAACTGGTAACATCCAAATTAAGCCAGGAGTTTAGTTAATAGTAACATACTAATATGAGTTTCTTAGTTTAGACAAATGTACTATAGAAATCTGAGATATTAGCAATGGGAGAAATAGGGTGAGGGGTATATAGGAACTCTACTATCTCTGCTACTGCTCTATAAAGCTAAAATTGTTCCAAAATAAAAAATTTATTTTAAAAAATATTTAATTAAAACTGTGATCCTGCTGTGAGAGGCAGGTCTCAGCACCTGCTTCTATGTAAAACTACTCTCTCCATGCACTGACTGTGGCGGTCATGTTTTGTACCATGTGACCTTCACCCACTCTTCTCCTCCAGCACATGCACAGCTGATTGGACCATGGGCAGGCCAGCCAATCCACAGGCTGGAAGGGTAAGGTGAGGTAGAAGCAGAAAGAACTCGGATGGCTTCCTAGATGCAACTAAATTGCAACTAAGTTACAATCTCATTGTCTCACAATAAAACCCCTTGAGAAAATTTAGAACCATGTCCACCCCCAAATCAAAACAGCTTTGATTCAAACTCTCAGGAATGTTTACACATTAGCCTCATCTTTCTCGGAGCCACAAGAGCCTAGGTCCCTATGATAGCTCATTTTATATGTTAACCTGGCACAGTACCCAGATATTTGGTCAAACATCATTCTGGATGTTTCTGAGACTTTGAATAAAGCAGACTACCCTCCATAATGTGAGTGCGCCTTATCCGATCAGTTGAAGGTTTACTCCCAACAAAGACTGACCTCCCCTGAGCAAGAAGGGATTTTGCCAGCAAATGGTCTTCGGACTTCAGCTGTAAGTCTCACCCCCAGGTCTCCATTCTGCTGGCCTACCCTATAGATTTTGTTTTGTTTTTGTTTTTGTTTTTGTTTGGGTTTTTTTTTATTTTTTTGCTTTTGTTTTGTTTTGTGCGGAGGTAATTAGGTTTATTTAATTACTTATTTTAATGGAGATACTGGGGATTGAACCCAGGACCTTGTGCACCCAGGACTTCCTGCATGCTAAGCACACACTCTACCACTGAACTGTACCCACCCCCATGACCACACCCTATAGATTTTGGACTTGTCAAGCCTCCACAGTTACATGAGCAAATTCCTTAAAATAGATCAATCTCTCTAAATACACGTGTGTGTAAATAGTAGATAAACGTGTATGTGTGTGTGTGTATGTGATGTGTATCCTATTGGTTCTGCTTCTTTAAAGAACCCTGACTGATACAGTCCCTGATAAGAAAGTTCAAGCATCAGTGGGAATGAAGAAGATGACATTAGGGGCTTCCTAATGCCCCTGCAGTCACACCCCACAGGCAGCCAAGCTCTGCCAATTCCTTTATGAGATGTCATGCTGTAGGAGAAAAAGCTAGGTGCGATGAGGCTCAGGAGAAGCCCAGTCTTGGCCAAATCACTAAGTATGTGACCTTGAGCAAGTCACTCCACCTCTCCAGGCCTTGTACTCTTTTCTGGAAAACAAAAGGGCTGACTAGACCAGAATCTGGAACCCATTACATGCTGCCCATTGTAGACATCATTAGAGGATCCCATTTTTTCCCTACTGAAATTTGGAGGCAACCAATAACTCTTCTAAACATATGGCTCCTGATAGACTGTACACAGTCAATCAAAGGTAGTTTATGAGATCAAACCAATTTGCAACCCCAAGATTATTTGATTTCAAAAACCCCCACCAACTAGAATGAAATGAAGCCACTGAAACTGTTGTGACTGCCAGGCAGGGAAGTTGTTGGAAAAATAAAACTCAACCTTTGGCTGAAAGTGACTGGGGCCATAAGAAGAGCCTGGGAAGCGAGCCCAGGAGTGGGTGAGGTGGAGTTCTGCATGTGCTGTACTTGCCACCACCGAGCTCTCTTCTTACATGTTTTCCAGTCCCTCATCTAGATCTGATCTAAAGCCTCAGGGTCTCTGCAGCCCCCCCAGGGTCCTTGCTCCTGTGCCCACCACCCTACCCCACAAGCTTACCTCCGCAAGGCTGATGGAGATAATGAACACAGGGGGTGGGAGGCAGTTAGCTCTTTCCAGGTATGTTCTTCGCACCGGTTCAGGAAGCATCCATTTTGAGACAATCCTGTGGACCTTTTTATTCTTGAACGGTTCTTTACCTGCCTGGGCCTCTCTCACTTTCTCCTTTTCCTCCAGCTCTTCTTTCATCTCTCTGTCCATATTCAGATTCACTTCCTCCTCCATCACCAAATCATGAGCAGCAGCCATTGTCCTGGGTCCTCCCTCTACCTGAAAGGGACACAGATGTCAGAGAGAAATGGACGACCCTATTGTCTTTGGGCCGTGGCTCTTTCCCAGGCGCTCTGGCACAGCTATTGGTTTCCAGTGCCTTTCCTGTGAGTTAGCAGATGGCAGCTGAAGATCTGGTGCCCAAAGACATGTAATATCCATACCCTCATCACCAGTGTGTAGTTGTGAAAAGGTGCTAGGGTCTCCCCTGAATGAGGGAGAGGTCCCTCCAGGAGTCATTGCCAGATTTATCTCCTGTCACCACCCAAGGGATGGACTGGAGCTTTGGAATGGCAGGTCTAGCTGGCACGCCCCTTCCTTCCTTTCTGACATGCACTTGCAAGTCAACCATTAGTGTAAGAGATAGTTTTGCCATGAAGTGATGCATTTCAGAGCCCAAGCCATGTGCACTGCATTACTGAACTCAGTTTTGTCTAACGTTAACAGTCTCCTTTCCCTTCTTAGTTTCATCTTGCTTTTACTCCCAGGCCAAACACATCTCTGGCTTCTGATTCAGAATCAAAAATTATTTACTGGGCATCTACTGTGTATCAGGTACTATGCTAGGAGCCCCATTAAAAAATTCACTTCCCATCTGAAAAATATATATGAATGTATATAACTGAATCACTTTGCTGTACACCTGAAACTAACACAACATTTTAAATTAACTATACTATATTTTTTTAATGGTTAAAAAAAGAAAAAATTTACTTCCCATTCCCCCCTGCAAAAAAAATTTAAATCCACATCTTTACTTCCTAAATTATCAGTGTTCTATTTAAAATGCCACAACTACTCATTCTGTAGCACATTTGAGTTAAGAAGGCCATTCCCCAACCTAAATGTCCATCAACAGATGACTGGATAAAGAAGTTGTGGTATATTTATACAATGGAATACTATTCAGCCATAAAAAAGAATAAAATAATGCCATTTGCAGCAACATGGATGGAGCTGGAGTTTGTCATTCTAAGTGAAGTAAGCCAGAAAGAGAAAGAAAAATACCATATGATATCACTTATATGTGGAATCAAAAAAAAAGGCACAAATGAACTTATTTACAAAACAGAAACAGACTCACAGACATAGAAAAAAACCTCATAGTTACCAGGAGGGAAGGAGGTGGGAAGAGATAAAGTGTGAGTTCAACATTTGCAGATACTAACTACTATATATAAAAGATAAACAAGTTTCTTCCATATAGCACAGGGAACTATATTCAATATGTTGTGGCAACCTATAATGAAAAAGAATATGAAAAGGAATATATATGTATATGTATGACTGAAACATTATGCTGTACACCAGAAATTGACACAACACTGTAAACTGACTATAGTTCAATTGAAAAAAAAAAAAGCCATTCCTACTGGTTCTCCAGGTACAACATCAGCACACTTGCTGAAACACATCTTCCCAACAACTCCCTGACATCTGGAACTCTTGCCTGAGTTCCTACTAACTTCCAGATCCTGTATTCCCTTGAACTCAATCCTCAACATCCAATCATTCAAGCATTTATTCAACAAATATCTGTTGAACACCTACTATAAATGGAATCATAAAACTTGTGACCTTTTGAGTCTGGCTTCTTTCACTTAGCAAACGTCTTCAAAGTTCATCCATGTTGTAGCAGGTGTCAGTATATCATCCCTTTTAATGGCTGAATAATATTGCATTGTATAGATAGGTATATAAACAAAACCACATTATTTATTCATCTGTAGAAGGACACCTTTTGGTTACTGTGAATAAAGCTGCTATAAACATCCCCATACAACTTTTTATTTGAAAACCTGTTTTCAGTGCTTTTGGGTATATACTTAAGAGTGGAATTGCTGGTTCACATGGTAATTCTATGTTTAACTTATTGGAAAACCTTCAGATTCCATTTTAAAATCTGGATTTTTTTTTTAAGGCATGAGTTTACTTAAGGTTACTTTACAGCTGATGTGTTGTAGAGCTGTGTTTAATCCCAGGCATCTGGGTCTATGGGGATAATGAGAGCACTGACCTCATAGCATTGGTGGGAAGATTATTTGCAATAATGGATGTAAAGCACTTAGAACAGTATCTGGCACATAGTAAACACTCCACAACTATTAGGTATTATTGGCTATGGATGGATGAGTTGGTGTGAGGATGGATGGATAGATGGAAGGGATGGGGCTGAGTCTGGGGTCTGTTTTCACACTGCAAGTTACTAGGAATCATGTCAAATTCAATTTATTTTCAAATGTATTTCATTAGGCAAGGTTCCACATTACAAGAGGTCTTATTCAATAAATTTAGGGAAGAAGAGAATTCTCCTTTCATTGCTTCCCCAGTAACTTTTCTGAAAATAAAGCCTTCTTCCCTGTCCCCTAAATCTTCCACCTCCCAGAGTCAGACATTAAGTCTTTAGACATAACCATTTTATTAATCTTCCTTGAAAATTGATGACTATTTCTAGTTTTTGTCATGTCTCATGAATGGCAAAACAGAGTGTGGATTTAAGATCAGCAGCTCTTAAACACAAATATTAAATTATTTTAAAAATATGTTCAATTAGGAGTGATTAACATTGTGTTAATAAGCCCTATTGTAAATTTAAATATCACACATGGTCATTTTATGAGAAAACGAAATTCTGCATTGTTAATAATACAACTTTCTATCCATAAAAGGAGCTAGAAAAAAAGATTACACTTCTCCCCAATTTTTCTTTTTTTCCAGATTTAAAAACTTCAAGAAATTTTCCAGCTTCAAGTTCATCATTTTTGATACTTTGGTGAAATATATTTCCTGTGCTGCAGATATCTGACCCATTCACTTTAGCCAAGACTCACTTTGTCTGTGTGCTTCCTCGGCACATACAGTAAAGGAATGTGACATGTAGTTCTACCTACTGTAGATTCTAGAAACTGATGACCATGTCGGTAGTGAGTGCACAGTTTTGTTTTTTACCCCTCTCCTCAGTCACTCTCAACACTCTGATGTCCGGACCTGTCTGTGTGCCCTGGTCCTTGAGAACAGAGGCCTCTCTGATTCATCTCATCTTCAACACCTAGTGCTTGATGCTCACAGGTGCTGCTTCCACACTGACATTCCCCATTCCTCCCACTCCTGTTTATCCTCTGCTCCCACACCTGGATGTCTGAGCACAGTGCACCACCTTGAAAACACTACTGACCAGACTGGCAACAATGAAAAAGACTGTTCTATACTTACAAGTCTGTGTGGAAATGCGTGCAGCTTACAAGGTGTAAATTGATGCAGCCTTTTTGGAAGGCATTTGGGCAGTATCTATAAAACATGAAACACATATGTCTTTCAACAGAACCATCCTACTTCTAGAAATCTATCCTACATACGTATTTGAGCAAGCACACAAGGCTATATTTCAAAGACGTTCTGTGCAGAACTACTTACAGTAGTGCAAAATTACAAAGAAACTGAGAGTATTTGAATCAGGTTGTTGGATTTTCTGAATAGTTCTGCCTCCTGGGTGGTTCTTCCTTCCTCAGTACTCAGATCTGCTCACCAGCACTTCTGCTCCTGGGTTCAAGGTGTCCCTCCCTAGGGCCTTGCAAGACAAGTCTAACCTAAGGTCATTCACTAATTGTGTGAGTGTGGCCTGTACACTCCCTGGGCTCTATAAGTCAAAACTGGGACAGGGTATCCGAAAGCACACTTTAGATGACCAGAATTTTGGGAGGCCCAGCTGAATAGAGCGAGAGTCTCAAAACTAATCAGCAATGATTGTAACACATTACAGTCATGCAGAGACACGAAAGCATCCAGTTATCAAATGATTTACTGGGTCACTCGCATCCCAGTGTTACTCACTGAGTGCATTGTTTACCACACTGACTACGCTTTCTTACTCGTTAAGCAAAGATCATGCAGGTTTCTTGAGATTTCCTTAATGTTGTCTTGATGCTATGCCTCACCTCCTACCTCTTATCTGCAGCAAGTGACTGCCAACTCTGTGTCGAAATCACACACACATACACACACTCAGATCAAAACTGGGTGGCACTGCTGTGACGTGTTCCCATCCTACCCTCAGGGAACAAGTCGGGGAGATTGTTAAAAAGAATAGAAGAATGGAAAGACTCTCGTGGAGATGTTCCGACTGCACACCAAGAATCAAAGACCTTCCCTCCACAGTGAACAATTATTCTTAAGAAGAGGAAACGTGGAAAGAACTTTCCTATTTCCTGACCTGACCTGGTATAAGCATTGCTTATGTTATGAATCATGGAGCCAGTATGCTGGCCAAGGATTGGAAAGGGCAGGGCTGTACTCATTTACCCAGAGCAGTCATCTGTCTTTTAAAAAGAAATCTGTAGAAAGATTTCCATAAGGAGATTTACACAGGAGACCTTTGACACTGACTGGCAAAGGATTTTTTTCCGAAGATCTCCTTCACTGTATATCACAAAGTGTCTCCCCAAGTTATGTTATAAATTATAGCCAGAAAATGTTAAGTGATTCCATCTCAGACCCTAAAGGATTCTATAAATGCAGCAGTAAAGTTCTTTATAAAGTTTGTTGTCTGAGGAGTATTAACTACGCTTAACACTTTGCACCCGAGGTCCCAAAGAAGAGAAGAAAAAGAAAATTTGGTTAGTTAGCTGGGCCTCTTTTCATCTTTCAGTAAAGTTTCATGTCTCTCGAAGAGCCATGTCTGAACTGGCTAAAGAACACAGTAAAACCACTTGCCAAAGCACTTTTCCTATGGAAGATCTCTTGAGATCACAGAGCCTAAACACCACTGAACTTGACATTCCATGACAGTTTATCAAAAACTTCTATTTGTGGCAACCAAAAAAAAAAAGTCACTTTCGCAGGCCTCTTCACTTTCTTTTCATTTCCAACGCTGGCGCTATCAAGTGATTTTTTTTTTAATGAGTTTTCTACTCCTCCAACAAGAAACAAGGATTTCAGTCACTGCATGCACGTTACACAAAGGCAATAACTAGTGAGAATAGTGAAGTCACATGAGATGCCAAAGTGGAAGGGAGGCCTGCTCACTCACAAGTAAATGACGGGTAAGCAAGGCCAGTCATTCGATTTACATTCATTTCCAGCAGGCCTTTGAGGGTAGCTAATGCTACAAAAACTGTAAGTGTTGAATCTGCAAATGTCAAGGACTTCCAGAGTATTATTTTGAGAATACTTATGTAACGGTCATCTGTCCATTTCTCAGCAAGTCCCCCATCTCATGAATGAGTGGGGAGCAGGGACCACTTCCCAGTATAAAAGCTAAAAATGCCCAATGCGCACCTTTCCAGGTCTCTAGGCAGCTAGGGCTCACCTACCCAGGCTTGAACAGTCAGCTGCATTTGCTTACAATTTTTGAGACTAGAGCTAGGGGTGGGGAAGATTCTTTAAGGTGGTACACCTTAAAGTGGTAGCAGCAGTATCCGGTGTCCAGCCTTGCCCCTGGAGTCAGAGTGGCCCCCAGCCTCCAATGCCAGCTGTGTCTCTGATGCAGGTTGTAGCAATGAGCATAGAGCAGTGCAATGGGTCTGTGGTCACCCACCTGGCTCTGTGATGTGATTTTGGTATGGTTCTAGGTGCCTGGTCTCCCTTTGTTTCTGCTTATTTCCCGACTTTGTTTCTGCAGCCTTCCAGTGATTGTGTAATCTACTATGATCTAGCGATATACTAGGAAATATGTATTTGGTCTTCCTACCCAGTTCCTGGCACAGAGCTCCTAAACCTTTGGAATTTCCTGAGTGATAGGAGTGAGCTGAGTATCTTTTGTTATTCATAATAAGCCTCTTTCAACCACACCTGAGTTTATGCTAATGAAATGACTCTTGGAGGATAGAGAGGGATTGCCAGAGAAAAAACCATAGAACTTTCGGCCCCCACCTCTAAGAAGGGGAGAAGAGCTAGAGGTTGACCAGAGGTCAGTAATTTAATCAATCATGCCTATGTAATGGAACTTCCATAAAAACCCTAAATAGATGACTTTGGAGAGTTTCCAGGTTGGTGAACAGATCAAGGAGCTGGGAGGGTCATGCACCCAGCTGGCCCCATGCATCTCCTCCATGTGGCAGTTCCCGAGTTATAACCTTTATAATAAACTGGTAATAGTAGGTAAAGCCCTCCCCTGAGTTCTGCCACCTGTTCTGGCAAATTATGGAAGCTGAGGAAGGGGGTGGGTCATGGAAACCTCCAAATTATCACCCATCGGTCAGAAGCACTGGAAGCCCAGGCCTGCAATTGGCATCCGAAGTAGGGAGCAGTCTTGTGCGACTGAGCCCTTAAGTTGTAGGGTAGCTAATGTCAGAATTGCTGTGTGGAAAACCCACAATTTGGTGTCAGAAGTGTGAGTAGGATTAGAGAAATACTTGTTTGTTTTTTTTAATCTTATGACTCAGTGCGCTTTCAACAACATCAACTTACTGGTGTAATCAGCTAGAATCCATTTCTGTCCTTTGCAACCAAGAACCTAACTAATACACCTGAATAACCAGAAATTCTTTTTAATTCTATCAGGGTTCTTCCTGTGGCAAGTTAAACACATTTCTTGTTCTGTGTTTGGGAGACCTAGTGTAAGGAGAGCATAGAGCTAGGATATCCTTTTTTGGTCTTGGCTCTGCCACTTCCTGGCTGTGTGAGCTGGAGTGAGTCCCCTCCCAGCTCTGAGCCACAGTTCTTTCATCTGCACAGTGGACACTCTGCCTTTGACCAGTGGTTCCCCAAACTGGTTATGCCTTAGAATTCCCTCAGTCATTTGTTTCTCAACATTTGTTTCAAACAGATTCCTGGGCCCTACTCCTAAAGAAACGAATTTAATAGACTTAGTACATTTCTGCCAATTGTACCAGTAAAGTGGAGGCAGCAGCACCTTTGAGAACCATAAACTAAGGCTCTCCAGTGTCCCCTTCAGTCTCTGTGATCTTCCATTGCAAGGCAGACCCTGTTTCATTGCTGTATTCCAAGTGCCCAGAAAGTTCCTGGTGCTCAGAAAATACTTGTATCTGAGTAAAAGGTAAAAAACCCTCTGCCACTCTTCCATAAATCTAAAATTATTCCAAAATAAGAAATTTACTTAAAAGAATACTGGAAGGAAGGGAGGAAGGAGAAAGGGATTCCAGGTACATCATATAACTAAGAATTTAATATCACTTTATGTTGAAAAGCACCTCCCACCCTTTTCCTCTGCACATTCACCCCCTCCACTGTCATTGTGCCATCACTGAGCTGTCAGAGAAGACCTGTGGAGCCATGATGCCATAATGCTTACAAAAGGGCCTGCCACCTTCTTTGAGGAGCACCATTCCTCATGCTTGGCCATGTGAAGACCCAAGTTCTACCCACCTCAATATCTTACAGAATTATTGTACAAATCAAATGAAAGTAAGACTTGCCATAAAAGAGAGCAGTTACCGTGTGCCAGGTTCTATGCTAAACACTTCATGAGCATTCTCTTCATTATTTCTTATAACCGTGTAAGGTGGGATAATAACGTTCCCGTTTTATGGATATGGAAACTCAGACTTCCAGAGTAACTTGCTCAAGGTCATACAGCTGGTGAGGGGAGGGCTGGGACAGGAGCCTTGGGAGGCATCTGACTCCAAAGACCCCGTGTGTACTTCTGCCCTGTGATTTCTACAGACCAAGTGTTGAAGAAGTGGATGTATTTATTTTGATTATTTTCATCCCGTCCTTCCCTATACCCTAACCTCCTCTTCTTCCTGCAGCTCCCCAAACATACCCAGACTAGACCCTGGGAGTTCCCAGGTGGGGGCTATCGAAGAATCAGCAGGTCACCAGCCCTGAGGATGGGGCTGGGAATCCCCACCAGTCCCGTTACTGCCACAGGGAGTCAAGATGGAAACAGACATTCAGGAAAGGAAAAGAATTTGCTTCTCTGAGAACCCGAGGACGAAGTCAGGCTCACCTTCCCTTCGTCACCTCACCCAGGAGAGCACTGCCAAGGCCACCAAGGTTAGGGCAACTCCTCTTTGGCAGAAGAGGCTTTGGATCATTAGCTTGTGCTGCTTTCCTAGCTGCATGCAAACAAGTAGGCTTCAAATATCTGAATTGTTTTTTTTAAACAGCTGGCCCCACCCATTCGTTGGTACCAGGCAGGCCCTTGCAGAGGCCGAGTCCAGCCTTGATGTGGCCGGGCTGCCCAGCAGCCTGGGCGGCAGGCTGTGTGGGGTGTACCCTACTGCAACCCAGCTGGGCCTGGTGGGGAGGCTTTTGGTGGTGTTGCTAGGCAACCTGGGTAATTGGAGAGGCCGTGGATTGGGCTTCTGGGCCACAGAGACTAATAGCCT